TCAGCTTTCCATCAGTCTGAAGCGGCGGTTACAGTTACAGTCATTTTGTAGAGGGAGGGAGGGGGGGTGTCAACACAAAGGCTTTACAGTGGGGGAATGATGTGTTCCCGGGGTTTACAGTTTATGGAAATGTTGTAGGAAGAGTTACGATGAAGTTTTTGTGTGGAAATGATTTGTGTGTGTTTTAGTGTGCATTGTGTGTGAGGTGTTTATTTCTTTGTGTTTTTTGATCTAGAGCTTATGCTTTCTAAATGTCTGACCTTGCTAAGCTCCATATCGACTGTAATGAGCCTTAGATACACACGGGTCTTCACTGTGTCTGTACTTAAATATCCTTCTGTGTGCAGTGTCTCGCCACAGCTGATTAATATTGATATGAACAGTATGTATTATTATTGCCTGTCTAAGTGTCAGTATTCAGCTTTTATTGCCTTCAGGACTGACATTTGGGCGAATTCAGGCAGCTTTACTTTTGATACTGTATCAAAAAAACAAACAAATTCGGCTGAGAATGTGCTGAAAAGAACAAACACCGCACCACAACACCTTGCCGGCGGTCCAAGTTTTCTCTGATTTCCACCCTGATTGTTGTGTTCCTCCTCAGCTCCGCATCCCGCTGCGGCCGCCGATGGCAGCTACGGTCACTACGGCAACGACGACGAGGAGTGGGGAGAAGGTTTTCCCCCGCCGCCCTCCCCCGGCGTCGTGGAGGAAATGAATAGAGACTTGCCACGAACTCCCCCACACCACAGGTACCCCTCTTCATAACACACACACACACACACACACACACAATGCCCAATACACAATCAGCACTCCATTAAACTACACACAGGGCCAGAGTTATTATGTTCTAATGACACTCTTATTATGGGCCACTGTGTTATGAGATAAAGAAGAGCCATTACACTAAATATTACAAGCCACATATGCATTATTTAGACTATACAGTCTAATTGCAGTAGCCTATTTGCATTATGCATAAGTAATTATAGTGATCGCGTAATAGAGTAAACTGTGTAGGAGTTTGAAGGCATAGAAAGAGCTATGATACTTCTGTACAGCAGCAGTCAATGTGTGTGAGGTTCATTAGGAGCATTTGTTAAGAAAATGTGGATGCTATAATCAGACACGCCTCCTGAATAACCTTAAAAGTTTTATGTTTTTAAACTTTTATCAAATCTTATTTTTAGTTTTCTGTTTACTAGATCTGCTCCACCATCCATACTTTGTTTAATTTGTGTCCTGTTATGTGCGGCTTCTCCATTGCATTGTGGGGCAATTGTGTACATCGGCAACACACTCGAAAACTCAAAGACATTTTTATGTGCATGCTGACGACCCAAAACCTGTTTAGAATTAAAGCATGGCATTGGGACACATCTACAAGTTCTGAGATTCCCTTTAAACTTCCCGAACTTGATTCCCAGATTAGGGCAGAGTTTGTACGACGTGTTGTCCGACCACGTCAGAAAGCAAAAGTGTTTATACCTGATCCTGATTGAAGGCGGGAGTGAAGTTGGCGGAGCTGTAAGGAGTACCCTGGCCTCTTTAGTGTGGTAACTGGGCTCTGAAGAGTCATCCTCAGCGTCGCAGCATCGCATGAACCGTAAAACACATCAAACAGAGCTCGTCTACTCAGCGAAATCCCATAATTTAGGGTCTACTGAATGAGCTGGTTAGAAGACCTTAACTGTAAGGGTGTGTTTCGCACGACTCTGTCAACAGTCTTGAATGAGTATGTTTGAAAGCCTGCAGTGTGTGTGTGTACAGTATCTCATGCGGTCAGAGTCAGAATCTGGCATCAATATAGTTGTTTCCCAGTAAGTTTAATGGAGACAGTGCATGCTGTTGTTGCTGAATCAAGCCATCTGGACGAGAGGAAATTGAATGATCTGTTGTCTGTTTGTGAATTCTAAATTTCATTTACTCCTACTTGTTTGGGTGATGTAACCAGAAAGTCACTGAAAGACTACTTCACTCCTGGCTGCACTGATTCACGAGCAAATATCGATCAATTGATTGATTGGCGCCAATTAATCGTGACTGTTGTTTTGCAGCGAGTTTCAGAGGCCGCCCCACGTGGTCGCAGACTACTACGCAGAAAGCCATCTGGCCAACGACAGGGACAACGTACCTCGCAACAGAGCGTCCAAGAGCATGGACCTGGGTGAGTGCGCGCACACACACACACACCTTCATCAATGAAAGAAGCCATTGTATTCACCAGAGTACCACTGAGTGCATTATCTCGAGCAAAAAACGTACAAGCCATATTGTTGTCTCAACCATCACCAACCAGCCAAACATACGAGTCTAATCATGGTCCCAGACTACACACACACAC